AGGGAAGCAGGCGACTTTTTGGCAACTTTTAATCGCTCGGTATTAAATAACCACAAGTTTTTAAAGAATAAATTTGGTGTTCCGCATAAGACTAACCACAAATCTTTCATATGTAATGGTTAAAAGAGTAACAAAAAACAAAGTTTAGTGGTTCTTTAACCAGACTTCGACTTGGGCATTGCGGTCTTGGTGCATATCTAAATATTATTAATAAAGATATTTCTGCAAATTGTACAGTTTGTAATAAGCTAGATAATGTGGCTCATTATTAACTGCATTGCCAAAAATATGTAAATCAACGTAAGGCGATGGTGGAATCTCTGACCTGTCACAATATTGACATCTCATTGACTGGACTATTGTGCTCAAGGAATATCGTTCACCATGAAGTTCAGAATGTCATTCTTGATTATATTAATGCATGTGGCAGCTTTACTACTTTATAAAAGTTTAGCAACTAAGCAAACCTTTATGATGGGCAAGGTTTAAATGGACCCTGTTGCCAGAACACCGAATTAAACTTTTAATTATCTATCTGTCTGTCTGTAACTGGGGAAAACGTGCAGCAGGGAAAACCAAAATGCTACTCGTTTCAGTTCACATAGAGTGTAGCCTAACATTATAAGGTCGTTTGGCTTTGTGGAATGTAGTCTAGATGTATCGCTACTTGATTTATACGAGTCACTGAGGAAAGGGCATTTTTCGACCTGTGACAAGTTTGTTTTACCAGCTGAGTATGATGACTGCGTGGTCGCGGTTTCAGTTGGAGATAAACAATCTGGTCCATTCCAGTCAGTTCCAAGGACCGTAAACTTGAATGACACCTGGGAATTTGGTAAATACATGGTTTACCGCTTACAATTCAGCGATGACAAGGTTCAAGGAACGCATTTCCTGAAGAAAAATGCCTTTCAAACTCTTATGAAGTTGCAAGTTTCCAAAGTTTGGTAAGCATTCAGGCCCATACATAGACCAAATAGACGGTTTGAACGGACAACAGTATCATAAGATGGCTACAAGAAATATAATTTCATAAATATAAGTAGTCCTAAGTATCTATATATTAATTTGAATTTCATTTCAAATTTTAACAAATACATAAATATTTCATTGTGATATTCTAAATTACTTTCAAACAATGTTTAATCATTTCATGGATAAATAAATATTAAAATCTAATTCATTGTTCTAATTTTTCCTTTGATATTTCAGACAAATAAATTGACAAAATATAAAAGTTTCCCATTGCAATAGTATAAAAGTAAGCACATCCTTCAATTCATTATTTCATATGTACATTTTAAACTTGCCTGATACTAGGCGATGGCCTTTGGATGGTTGATCCCCATACAACAAAACTGAAGCTGCAGAAGTGTATGCTGCCACCAGAGTTTGATATTTTTCAAGGGTACGACATCCCCAAAAGTCACCAACATGTCCCCAAAAACCTGTCAGCAGATGAACCAACAGTTCTTTTTTATTACTTTCTGCGAAGAACTAGTAGCATCATTATTAAAAAAATATTCTGTGACTGCATCTGAACTGAAGAAGTTAGCAGAGCACATGAAACACTCCTTCTCAGAAGAACTGAAAACATCTCTACATCATGAAGTTTTGGCCTACTAGATTGATTCTAAATTGCCGGTCTTTAGTGAAGAAGTTGCCATTGCCAAGTGGTGGGGAGAAGTCCACAAGTCCTCAAAGTATCCAGCCCTGGCAAAGCTTGCTGCAGTTGCTATGTCAGTTTTCCATGGACCCCAAGTGGAGTCATCATTCAACCTGATGGGAGACATAATAGACCCCAAATCATCCCGGATGAATGTTGAAACATTCAGTGCCATCCAAACTGTGAAGTACAACCTTCTCTCCAAAAATACAACTGCTCTAAGGTACTTCAACAGACCAGATCCCAAGTTTTCTCCAGTCAATAGGTGAATGTGTCTGAATATCAGGTCAGCTGCAGCACTGCACAAGAAAACACTGGGAAAAAATGCTGAAGCACGAAGAATATGCCAAGACAGACTAAAACTCAACAGAGGCAAAAACAACAAAACAAAAAACCCAGAGCAAAGTAAATGCAAAACTGGCAGCAGAAAGAGAGGTTGAACTTAATATACAAAAACACATGGCTAGGCAAACTAAAGCAGCTAGGAAGAGGGTATTGGAAGTGATGGCAGAAAACTGCCAGAAGAACAGGAAACTCAGCCAGTGATGTGTATTATCATTGCTGAATATATGCAGCTTGCACAGTGTATTATAGGCATGTGTATAAATGTGTAGATCAGTTTCTTGTACAAGTGTAATCAGTGAACATGACAAGTGTGGATACTTTTTTGAACAACCAGGATGACTGAATTCATTGCCAGCTACCTTTCTGTTAGTGATGCACAAGTTTGATAGTGTTCTTTTCTGCATGTATCACTGGATGTCAAGACAAAATTTCATTAAAAATGCTTTATGGTGACAGTCATACTGAGTGTGTGAAGACCAGAATTATGGGTGGTAAGTGATCTTTTCTTAATAAAAGGGGCATTATTAACAATGATGTATGTTATATTTTTTCTCTTTATTGCATGTCAAATAATATCTTAAGGGCTCAGTGTCTACTTATTGTGTTAACTGCAGCAACACTACTGAGTATTGCTGATTTTCGAGACTTACCACAATCCATTTTAAAGCAGATTTTGCAGTACAAATAGGGAATATTTCAATAAATTTGGAATTTTCATCTCAGATTGCAGGAAAATGCACCAAATTCATTGTAATACTTGAAAATTTTACAAGGGGGAGAGGAGAGAGAGAGAGAGAGAGAGAGAGAGAGAGAGAGAGGGGAAAGAATGCCCTCAAAACACACCACCCACCACCACCACCCCTAGATGGGCGATGTGCATTATTTTCACATCGCATTCCGTGCCCTTGACACTCATAATAAACTTCCTCCAAAATGGAAATTAGCTGTTATCATGCCTGTTTAAATTAATTGAAACTAAATTTTAAACATCTGTCAGCAAAGGACAGTAAACAACTAGACTATCACAGATATGTATTTAAAACTTGTAATTAAATCTAAAATACTTCAACAATAAAGACGATGCAACATAAAAACGGGCTATAGATCGCAAACAACTGAAGGTAGATCACCATACTAGGGACCATGGGGACTTACAGTGCCTTTGCTACCTGCATGGACCCTAGTTGGATTTACACCATCCCTTCAGCCGCTGTTGATTGTAGGAAACTTAAAATAACAAAAATACTACGTTTAAAAATCCTGGTAAGTTTAAATGTATTTTGAAAGGTTTGGGACTTACGCACTCTCTCAGGAGGGCAATAATTCTACAGTAACCCCCAATACAGCCCTGAACAATCTCAGTTGATAACCTAAACTACCAATTATAAAACATTTATCTATTTACAAAATATATCAAAGTTTATGTAACAATGCTATTTCTGTAAAAAAAATTTTTTATTAAATGATGATTAACATGATTAAAAAGATCCCTCACTGTTTTGACATGGAAATATTTATCCCGTGTGATTGAAAAATCAATACAGTCAAGCAGGACATGTTTGACCGTGATTCTCTCACCACAAGGGACGCAAAATGGAGGATATTCGCCTTCCCGCAAATACTCATGAGTGTATGGTCAACGCGACATCGTTGCATAACGGCATTGGGCATAAGTATCCCTGACCAATTCGTTGAGTGACTTAATATTGACGTAATCCCTGACCAATTCGTTGAGTGACTTAATATTGACGTACGAACATAAAACCTACAAGAACGATAAATCTAAACTAAGGGACCGTTCATAAGTAATGGGTTAGGGGTGATGATGAATTATATGGAGAAGGGTGTACAATGTGAATGCCCCCCTCCCCCTCCACTAATGCGTATGTGCAAAGAGAGTGACCCCCCACCTGCATGTCATGTGCAAAAGCAATGCCCCACACACACACACACACTTCCCATGTTACACGTGACATTTATTGCATAGTATTTTTGTGTACAAACTTGATGACCGCCCTTAGTACCTGTGTACAAATTGATAACCCCTCTACCTCCCAAGAACAAAATAATAAAAACATAATGATGATTTGTTGAAAACATATTCTAATGTAATTATATTCAGCTGCTCACGTTCTATTACCAAATATCTATTCTTAGATACGTTTCGATGCTCTGCAAACAAAGACCAACACCAACTAGGAGACTCATACCTCACAAGTGGATTTCGATCTCTCAGACAGTTGTCTCACCAATGGACAGAGGAACGAAGCCTTCACTATGCTTTCAAGATGGAGCTCCATAATGTCGAAGCGCCTCATTGATTTGGGACACACCACAGCTGTGCAACATAAGATCAACCTCATTGACGATACTCCTTTCAAGGAACCTCACCAACGAATTCCACCTGGAATGTTTGAGGAAGTCAGGGAACACCTTCATGAGATGTTGACATGTGGAGCCATTCGTGAGTCTCATAGTCCTTTCTCGTCTAACATAGCTCTGGTGAGGAAGAAAGACAAGTCTCTGCGTCTATGTCTGGATTTTTGCCGGATTAACCAGCGGACGGTTAAGGACGCCTATTCCATCCCCAGGATCGATGAAACCTTAGATTGTCTGTCAGGAGCATCCTTGTTTTCTAAATTGGACTTTCGTTCAGGATACTGGCAAGTGGAGCTAAAAGAAGAGGACAAGCACAAGACTGCCTTTTCAGCATGTCCGCTCGGATTTTATGAATGCAATTGAATGCCGTTCGGACTTACCAATGCACCTGCCACCTTCCAGCGTCTAATGGAGAAATGTATGGGAGATCTCAACCTCAAGGAGTGTCTAATTTACCTGGATGACATAATTATATTCTCATCTACATTTAAGGAACACTTGGAACGTCTTGAAGCAGTATTCCAACGACTGAAAGACAATGGCCTCAAGCAAGTTATTCAGGGATCGCGTGACATACCTTGGGCATGTTGTATCTTGCAACGGGATAGAGATGGATCCAGAGAAGGTATCAGCACTCAAGAATTGGCCCGTACCAACCAATGTGCATGACGTTAGAAGATTTCTAGGCTTCACTGGGTATTACCACCGTTTTGTGAAGGATTTCTCTCGGAATCCAAGACCCATCAACGAGCTCTTGACAGACCAACCAAAGAAGAAGAGACGAAGCTCTAAACCTGATCCTAACTGGAAGTGGAATGATGAGCAACAAAAAGCTTTTGATGTCCTCATCCAGCGTCTCACTTCACTGCCAATCTTAGCGTATGCTGATTACACTCTCCCCTTTGAGGTCCACACCAATGCCAGCGCTGGGACTGGGAGCAGTTCTCTACCAGAAGCAGCATGACAAGATGAGAGTAATCGCGTATGCAAATAGAGGACTCAGGAAGAGTGAGAGGAACTATCCTGCACACAAGCTGGAGTTTTAGCACTCAAATGGGCCATCATGGATAAGTTTCATGAGTACCTGTATGGAAACAAATTCGAGGTCAAGACAGATAACAACCCTCTTACCAAGCTTGATGCCACTGGACACAGGTGGTTCGCTGCTCTCTCAGCATACGACTTCATCATTATCTATCGTGCAGGCAACACCAACATGGACGCCAATGGATTGTCAAGAAGGACAGATTACTCGGACAGCAAGGAGTCTCATATCGAACCCCCATCCATCAAGGCCATCTGCCAAGTTCATTGCACCTCCTGCATTGCTGTGGAAAGCTTAGCTTGTGATGAAAAAGTTGTTTGCCCAGATGACATAATTCCATTGACCCCTACATCACTGTCCTGGAAGAAGGAAAAACTGAGTGATCAACATCTTTGACGTGTAATCCATCTCATCAAGGAAGGAGTTAAGCTTACAGCACGTAAGCGGTCACTTGAGGATCCTGCAAGTGTTTCTCAAGGGTGAGAAGACGAATCAACAACATCGAAGTGATTGAACACCAGCTAGTTCTACCAAGGAACAAGATACAGGAAATACTTCAGTCTCTCCATGACAACTCAGGACACCAGGGACGTGACAGAACTCTCCATCTTGTGAGATCAAGGTTTTTCTGGACTGGAATGTCTGAGGATGTCGAGAAGTACATTAAGAACTGTGGTAATTGTGTCTGACGCAAGTCCAAAACCACTGTGAAAGCCGCATCACTTGTAAGCATCCACACTTCACAGCCAATGGAACTTGTCTGTTTGGACTATCTCAAACTCGAAGAATCCAAAGGAAGCTACGAGAATATCCTTGTGATCACGGATCATTTTACTCGCTATGCTATTGACATTCCAACTTGTAACCAATCAGCCAAGACCACAGCGAGAGTACTGTTTGACAATTTTCTAGTACATTATGGATTCCCGGCTAAACTCCACAGTGACCAAGGGAGGAACTTCGAGGGCAAAATCATCAGAGAACCCTGCCAACATACTGGGATAAAGAAGACAAGAACGGCGCCATATCACCCTCAAGGTAATGGTATGACGGAACGTTTCAACCAGACTCTGATGAACATGTTGGGTACCCTAGATGAAGAGAAGAGTGACTGGAAAACTTATGTACCTGCTCTTGTCCATTCCTACAATGCCACGAGTCATGAGAGTACAGGATTCACTACCTTCTACCTCATGTTTGGACAACACCCTCGACTCCCAGTTGATGCCTTTCTTGGATTCGACCTTGGAGAAGGACAAGCTACCTGTACTCAGTACGCTAACAACCTCCAGAAGCGGCTACAGTTTGCGTACAACATCGCCTCCAAGGAATCCAGGAAGGCAGGACAACACCACAAACAACATTACAACAAGAAAGAAAGAGAGTCCTTTCTACAACCAAATGATCGTGTTCTGGTGTGACTTGTCGGACTTATAGGAAGGAACAAGCTTGCCAACAAGTGGGGAAAAAACGTCTAACGTCTAACCCAACAAGGACATTCCCGTCTACACTTTGAAGCAAGAGAGTGGCCAGGGGCCAATGAAGACTCTCCACTGCAACATGCTCCTGCCACTGGAATCTGTTTCCCTCCAACAACACACGCCCAGGACAGAACGACGCCAATCTGGAAGAAGCAAGAAATCGGTATCACTTCGAGTGAAGGAGTTTCAAGCTTCAGACAGATCCGAAGAAACCAGTCAAGATGAAGAGGAGATCATACTGCTGCCCAGACTTAGGAGTTAAGCCAGAGCCACGGATTTGATTCCAAGTGCCGCTAATACTTCTTGTCAAATCTCAGGATCTTCTGGCAGCCAGCCAGAGACCACAGAGCCACAGTTATCTCCCCTGCCAGCATTTCCATTCTGGAAAGGTCGACTGCAACGCCGCCCTCAAGTACTCCTGTGGAACCAGAAGAAGCTGCAATCTCTCCTGTCTTCAGCATTCAATCTGCATCACCTGCCCAGATGGATGCTCTGCAGTTGGGGACGCCTACCCGACTCAGAACCCGTCCAGCCTGGATGCACAGTGATCAATTGGGTTACAAACTTTGGGGCCGTCGTTCATCAAGAATCGGAAGAGGAAGAAGTTTTTGTTTGAAGTTCTTGTACATAGTTTAGTTGGTTTGTTCAGTTTGGTTTGTCAGTTTCTTTCAATGATTTCCTGATCATTGAAACCTTACGAGCTTTCATAGGAGTACCAGGTGTTTTGTTTTCCGTTATTTGGTGTTCCTTTCAAAAGCATACGTGTCATTGAAAGCTTAACTAATTCAGTTGGGGATATTTTCATCAATATCTCTGTTTGATTATTTTCCACTCTAATTATTGGCCATTTCCTTTGTTCTATAATTGTTGAGGACTCCATTTTCCAAAGGGGAGAATTTGTTGCCGACAGCCTTCTATTTCCCTTTCCACTGGCTATATGTAGAGAGTTGTACGTGCCACCCGTATTCGGCTACCCGCCAAATCTCGTGCATTTCATGCCTGTGACGTGTGACACTTTCATGTCACCATCCGACCATTTCGGACGCACACAACATCTTTCTCATGTTGTAATGTTCGTATTTCACAGGCAATAAACTGGTTCATATCATAAGCGACGTCCCCCATCTCATCAATTATTGTCCTTGGGACATCTCAAGACCAGATCCTGCGATAATTGGCGCCCGAACAGGCTATCATTTTATATAAAACTAATAAAAGCTTCGAATGGCGGCAAATGTTATCATGCTCCATTCTTTGGAAGCTTCCCGTCAATTAAGTTTCAAGCAAAACGTTTGTATCAAAATACATTAACATCATATTTTTCATTTTTATCAAATATTGAATGTATAAGCAGTAAAATTGATTTAAGTCAGTGATATAGCAATAACGATTTTTCATTTCATCAAAACGACAAGTGTTATTGTCTTAAGTTAATTCAGTCCATAACGGGACTTCAAACATAATGCATCTGCACATTTACGTCATCACTGGAGAATGTTTTATGTTTTACAAATTAAAGATGAAAATGCAGCAGAGAGGGTTCTGGTGATCCTGGCACAGGCTGGTAAGGCTGGTAAGGCTCATCATCAGCTCAGGACCCTTGCCCCTACACGCTGCCCAGACAGCGAATGGGACTTCTTCCAGGAAACGCTGCCTAGTCGAACCCACCAAGAACTTTCCAGAGAATATGAAGGGGGGGTAGACGACCGTGTTTTTGGGATGCAAGCGAGACATTTCAAAGGCGAGGTCAGCGAGGTCCGCATATTGCCAATCATCGCCATCAACAATCTCAACTTCAAATTTCAGAGTCTGTCCAACAACTTTGGCACGCTTAAAATAGCTGTGGAATTCCTTGCTTTCATCATGAGTCTTCACATGCATCACCAGAGGATCATCCGATAAATAAATGTGTGCAAAAGTGCACAATTAAAGTGTATCATGAAGAACCTCCACATTTTAATCAAACCCCGACCTCCAGAATTGATTGGCATGTATTAACAACTGAGAGAGGAACGAGGGTGGTGGGCTCTATTATCACACATGATCCTTCTGGTCAGGCGGTCAAGACTGTGGATGTCTTGTTTTGTCCAATCAACTACTCCAAAGGAATAGGAAAGGACTGGCACAGCAAAAGTATTAGTGGCTTTGACCTTGTTTCGAGCATTTAGCTCTGAGCTCCAGATTTTCTTTAAGCGAGATTTATACTCGGCCCGAAGTTTGTCTTGAATCTGGGCATTCTGGAGCTTGTCTCATTTCAAGATAAGTGTATGCCTGATTTTCCACAAGATGCTCAATAACTCCTCCCCTTTGTAATCTGACCGATCCATCATTAGTTACCTTGCCACGTTTCAAATGAAGAGAATTACATTTGTCGAGTCCAAATGTCATGCCAATATCAGTAGAAAAGGGCTCGACAAGAAGAACCTGCTCTTTCAAATTGGTATCTCCTTTCTCAAGTAGCTCGATATCTTCCATGTAAGTGGTGTTGGTGATCTGTGTTGAGGAGCTCCGGGTGGATCTATTGTTGAGGAGCTCCAAGGATGGTGAAGGAGTCCCCCATTCCCCTTCTGATTGGAATAGATTCTGAAGTCTGCACCTGCCCTTGCGAGTACATCTCAAGTTGAGTCGACCAGCAACTCATTAAAGACTTGAGTAAATCAAGTAGTCGCTCAGGGAGGTCAATACAACGCAGAGACTTCAGAATGCATTTGTGAGGGACAGAGTCGTATGCTTTTTTGTAGTCAATCAACACATAGAATGGTTGCGGTGATATATTTCCAAAATCATTTTTTGTACAAGAAGTTGATCCTTGCACCCCACAACATCCCTTTCTCGCTCCCTTTTGCTCTCTATAAATTATGTCATTAGAAGAGCAGTAAGAATGAAACGAGGTTTATCAGACACCCTGTGAATATTTTATATTGTGTATTCAAACATGTGATAGGGCGGAAGTTTTTGGGATCAGTCAAGTCTCCTTTCTTGGGAAGGAGTATTGTGCGACCTTTGCAGAACCATGGAGGAACATCACCTGTGTCCACGAGAGAGTTGAAACAGTGAAGTAATGGTGTTTGGACACAGGGGAATAGTTTCCAATAGCGGTTTCGAATGCTATCAGGCCCTGGAGCTGTATTAGATTTGGACTTTTGATGACACTTTTCAGGCAATCTGGTGAAATGTAACAGACAAACGACCTAGTTGCTTTCTCATGCATTGCATGGTCATAATCACGGACCCATGGTGCCTCCAGGTTACAGTCGCCGGGTACAGACCATAATTTAGTATTATTATTTACGTTAACTTGGCTTAGATCGTATTTACCTGCTGGAAGTGTCGTAACCTGCGATTGGGCTTCAGTAAACCCTGCATCAGTTACCTACTAATTATGGTCATTCCACATTGTCAGGGGAGATGATATCTCAGGCGCCCCACTCGCTTGGT